CGTCAAAAGAGAAGTCCTTACAGGGAATCAGACTTACTCTGCTCACCTCTCTAGCTTCAACAGCACAAGGTCTGCTTCAAATCTCAAGGCAACCCGGAAATAGCGAGTCACAAGAGAGTGACAAACATACCAAAGAAGTAGAGGAAAAATGATGACAGTAAGGATTAGGAAAGAAAAAGCAGCAGTTCCCTGATGTAGTTCAGGCACAGTTATGAGCATGACATTGATGAATCAGACCATTTCTGCCTGTCTGTCTCCGTGAGACAGTGCCATAAAAGAGACCAAGCTCATTGCTCAAGATGCCATGGATCTAACACTGCTAACAACACTTCTTGCTTGACAAAAAAAACACAAACTTCAGTTCAACTTAATCTGGGCGGAAACAAAATTCCCAGAAACAGCAAATTGTCTGAAAAAGTAAGTCTAGTTCAGTAAAGAGTTTTACGGCACTTGCAACACAATAAGGTCATATAAGTGCCGAAGATTAGAGGTGTTACAAGAGAGTAACAACAAACGTAAAAAAGAAGGAGGATAGATAAGGACGATAGATGTTTAAGAGGAAAGAAGGAGCAAACCACACCAGAGCACCCGCCAACCACCCACAAAAAAAAGAGATTTTCTTGTCAAGAGAGTAACAGTGTCGCTGCATTCTTCCCTTAAAAAGTGATAAATGGACTTGGAATTTTTCTACATGTTTCATCACTTTCTACTTTTTTTGGTATAGTATGGGTTCAGACAAATAGTTTCTGGAACATTTGAATAGACATGTACTTGGAAGTTTTCTAAATGGTTTCATCGCATTCTAATTTTTCTGATATAATACAGGTTCAACGCCTCTTTAAAGGTAAGAATTTTATTTAAGAGTCCGGAGCTCTGATCTGAGCTTAACCTGCTATAGAAACATGTCAAAGTGTTAAGACACCCATGAGAACAGTTAAAACAATCCCAAGGCCAAGAAAGCACAATGAAGATATTCACATTATAGTCCAGCATGATACAAAAAGAACAAAAGGTGTGAATCTTATTTTGTGAATACTTCTACCTCGGAGGAAACACACTAAACAGTTCATTATCTATAACACATACACTCTTGTGTAATCTAAAAAAATGGGACATCACACAACAAACATGAGACTGTTCATTATCTATCACACATACACTTGTAATCTAAAATGGGACATCATTCAACAAACATGAGACTATCTATCACACATATACTATAATATAGACTACTTGTGATTAAAAAAGGGCAGCTGACGATTAACGCAGTTGGCCTAGGTGGTACCTACCTATAGTCAGAACAAAACAAAAAAATAAGATGAATGATGATGAAAATTTTTCAAAACATGTTTTCTACAAAACTAACAAATTATAGAAATAGAATTATAAAAACTTGGTAAATTTTTCTTTTAAAATTCTGCAAAGTTGGTGGGCTCACGCCAAAAAGTAACACAAAGCCTGTCCGAAAATTAGAGTGAAACATTTCACAACAAAAAAAGTAACAACTCTTCTGACAATCTATAAACAAATTGCAGAGGGCAAAGCACAAATACACACTACTCGTTGCCAAAGTATCAGTCACATGACAGAACATGTATCTGTGACGTCACACCAAACAAGGATACCCTCATACAGACAAAAGTCAAAGATAGTTCAAACAAAATAAGCCATACGATTTTCAGATGCAAAGTGAAAAAAATCCACTAATTTCGAATGGTGTAACTACTTATTGTTTATGATTTATTCATTTCCATATAAATTTTAATAATTTATTCTGTGATCATTTTCACCTTCCGTGCTTTTCAGGCAACCCTCATATGTGTATGTGCCCAGAGAAAGGTACCAAAAGTCACCCTTTTAAAAGGTGTTAAAATCTATTGTTGAAGCACGTTTTCTCTTCCCTACTATGTTTTACCATTGAATTCCATTCATAATATTGATGTCAACTGAATGCCGAATTGGAAATGAATTTTTCATGAAAAAATATGTTTAAATATTTTATTTTTTTAGTTTAGTTTGTATATGTTCTCACGTTTGTTAAACATAAAATCTCATTTTCTCAAAATTATATTTTTATACCCTACCTCGCAAAATGTGCAATATCTCAAAATCTACTTGAGATATCTAAAAAGTTTTTTTAAAACTGTGTTCAGCATTGAATTTCCAACAAGGTACAACCCTTAACACAAAGTGGTCAAAATCCGAACACACACATATTTCTACATCCAAAATGATCATGACTGTTTGACTTAGTTTTGACTTTGCTTACACCTAAACTTCAGACTAAGCAAAATCAAAGCAGCAGCCAACGACTTCGTTGGACGCAAGGTGAACTGTACTATCTATAGTAAACAATACTGACAAAAATAGTTCACATTATTTTCTAAATATTACTACAGTAACTATATTAAGGTGTCACAAAAAATAAAGCAATAAAACTCACAGAAATAACATGATAAAAGATGTAAGGGATAGATAGATAGATATCATATTAGCTTCTCAATGTGTACAAAAAAATATTAGTTATTACAATTGGACATTAAAGCATTGAGGGGGAAAAAGTGCACAATAGCTGGTAAAAGATGAAAGGGACACATACAAATGTGCTTCTCATAATCGCTAGCCCAGAATTACAAAGTTCTATCTGCTCAGTGCCTAGTTTTGAGAAATTTGACGTAAAAATATTGAGTTTCACAACATGTCAAGCTTTTTCGAATGCAATTCTTCCAATATCTTGATGATGACTCCGAATAATGTGGTTATTTTGAAAGAGCAGACAGAACATTTGGTTTCAAAACAGACAAAAATGTCAGATGGAAATTTGTAATTCTGAGGTAGCGTAATGTTCAAAGGAATAAATATAAACCATTATTATGGTCATTGGACGGAGCATTGAGATCAAAAGTGAATAAATCTATATGTAGATAATTCTACAGTAATCTACACCATCCAAGGTTTCTCTGCTGAAAGTTTGAAGGTGGCCTAAAGATAATATAAGATAAGATAATAATTTATTATCCCAGAGGGATATTAGGATATTTACCATATATTATCCCCTTCCCTTCTATTTTAAACGCAAAAAAGGCTGATTTGTTTGTATGTTTGATTGTTTGTCTGAGCAAGGAGAAGCACATCAATGCAACACTTATCATTTAATCTTGGGGAAAGGAAAAAAGACAGTACCGGGTAATAACAGAAACAGTACAGAAGTAGGACCTACTAGTAGCGCCATCTTGCAACCCCCTCTCCCTTCCCCTCCCCCAACCCATTCACCCATTAAATAGACGGAACAAGTACTGATTACTTATTAAACAATAGACAGTACAAAAAATAAAACAAAGGTGGATAAAGCCAGTTATAGTAGGGAACTAAGCAAAGCCACAGAACAAAATCACAGAGGGAAGGTCAAAGGGAGACAACAACTGACCTTTACCGTGAGATTATCAGATAGACTCGGCTAAACATAGTTACAATAGCATGCACGCATACACACACACGTACACACACACATACATTAACACACACACACACACACACATACACATACACAATCAGACACACAGGCACGCACATATTTATACAATTTCATCGCGTCTTGCATTCTCCTGTTTTAGAAAGCACTAAATTAATGTCTCCTTCCTCTTCTCCGTCCACTTCTTTAGTAAAATAACTCCAGCCAAACAACAACAGTTTCCGTGGAATAACTCATCAGCTTAAAACAAGGGTACTATATTCAAGGTCTACTTCTGACAGTTAACAAAATCAGATAAACTGAGAAAGTTAAGTCAAGTTAATGAGGGAGGATCAACATTCATGTTTTGAACAGGGAGGATGGGAAAGATGGGGAAGATGCCGGTGATTTAAAAAATTTAATGTAGCTGTTTATAGAACCACCATGGACACAATTTAGGTCGCGGGGTGAAGCAAGTGGACGCTGTAACAATGTAATCGGGGAACAAGCAAACACCCCAGGCAAGAAATTCTCCTCTGGGGCTTGGAAAGGAGACAGATGACACTTACTTTCCACACACAGACTGTCATTATAGTACAGTGAAGAATTGCATAAACACTTGCTAGTGAGGTCATCACATTGAAGGTTCTCAGTGCATACAGCATTCTCCGTACAAGTCTCATTAAATTGGATTTCTGTAGAAGGCATCATAAGTCAATTGACATTTGGGTAATGTCCCACTGCACGATTGGAAGAAAGGAATTCAGGCAAACGTCAGCACAGATGTCAGTGGGGAAAAAAAAAGAAATGCCACACAAGGAAGTTCAAGAAGAGAGGGGTGCGTCAGATTCTGGACTATCAGAACTTTCAAGGAAAGAGGAAGTGACGACTGGAAAGGAGGAACGAGAGACAACATGTTGACAAGAGACCCAAAAAAATGTGTTGCTAAAAGATGACGTAAGAGAAAAGATGGAAAAGATTTTGTTTTTAATTTTGGTAAGAGTTTTACGGCACTTGCAACACAATAAGGTCATATAAGAAATGCCGAAGATTAGAGGTGCTACAAGAGAATAACAAACACAAAATAGAAGGAGGGGAGATAGAGACGATAGATGTTTGATAGGAAAGAAGGACCAGACCATCAATGATTTATTTATAGAGGCACCAGCCATCCATGTCCAGGTGCTGTTTTAGCCTAGAAAAGAAGGAGCAAACCACACCACAGCACCCGCCAACCACCCACAAAGATTTTGTTGATGATTTGTGTGAAAAGAATAACAAATAGAGAGCATCAATTGTCAGTAACTAATGTGTGTCAGAATCTGTGTGAACATTTGAGTAAACCTGTCCCCTTGTACCCTTTCTCATAACATACATGAGGGCGAGACCCAGGAGAAGAGAAAAAAACAAAAACAAAACAAGAACAAAAAAAAAGCAAAAAGAGACAATGTTCAGGATCAGGAAT